GAGCATCAGGACCATCCCTGACCCACCCAGGGTACGTCAGGACCATCCCTGACCCACCCAGGGAACGTCAGGACCATCCCTGACCCACCCAGGGAGCACCAGGACCATCCATGACCCATCCAGGGAATGTCAGGACCATCCCTGACCCATCCAGGGAATATCAGGACCATCCCTGACCCATCCAGGGCACATCAGGACCACCCCTGACCCACCCAGGGAATGTCAGAACCATCCATGACCCACCCAGGGAGCACCAGGACCACCCATGACCCACCCAGGGAGCATCAGGACCATCCCTGACCCATCCAGGGAGCACCAGGACCACCCCTGACCCATCCAGGGAACGTCAGGACCATCCCTGACCCATCCAGGGAACGTCAGGACCATCCCTGACCCATCCAGGGAATGTCAGGACCACCCCTGACCCACCCAGGGCACATCAGGACCACCCCTGACCCATCCAGGGAGCATCAGGACCATCCCTGACCCACCCAGGGAATGTCAGGACCACCCCTGACTCACCCAGGGAATGTCAGGACCATCCCTGACCCACCCAGGGAGCACCAGGACCACCCCTGACCCATCTAGGGAGTGTCAGGACCATCCCTGACCCACCCAGGGAGCACCAGGACCACCCCTGACCCATCTAGGGAGTGTCAGGACCACCCCTGACCCACCCAGGGAGCACCAGGACCACCCATGACCCACCCAGGGAGCACCAGGACCACCCCTGACCCATCCAGGGAATGTCAGGACCATCCCTGACCCACCCAGGGCACTTCAGGGCCATCCCTGACCCACCCAGGGAATGTCAGGAGCACCCCTGACCCACCCAGGGAGCACCAGGACCACCCATGACCCACCCAGGGCATGTCAGGACCATCCCTGACCCACCCAGGGAGCACCAGGACCATCCCTGACCCACCCAGGGAGCATCAGGACCATCCCTGACCCATCCAGGGAACGTCAGGACCATCCCTGACCCATCCAGGGAATGTCAGGAGCACCCCTGACCCACCCAGGGAACGTCAGGACCATCCCTGACCCACCCAGGGAATGTCAGGACCACCCCTGACCCATCCAGGGAGCACCAGGAGCATCCCTGACCCACCCAGGGAATGTCAGAACCATCCCTGACCCACCCAGGGAGCACCAGGACCATCCCTGACCCACACATGGAATGTCAGGACCACCCCTGACCCATCCAGGGCACATCAGGACCATCCCCGACCCACCCAGGGAGCATCAGGACCATCCCTGACCCATCCAGGGCACATCAGGACCACCCCTGACCCACCCAGGGAGTGTCAGGACCACCCCTGACCCACCCAGGGAGCACCAGGACCATCCCTGACCCACCCAGGGAGCATCAGGACCATCCCTGACCCACCCAGGGCACATCAGGACCACCCCTGACCCACCCAGGGAGCACCAGGACCACCCCTGACCCATCCAGGGAGTGTCAGGACCATCCCTGACCCATCCAGGGAACGTCAGGACCATCCCTGACCCACCCAGGGAATGTCAGGACCATCCCTGACCCACCCAGGGCACATCAGGACCATCCCTGACCCACCCAGGGCACATCAGGACCATCCCTGACCCACCCAGGGCACATCAGGACCATCCCTGACCCACCCAGGGTATGTCAGGACCACCCCTGACCCATCCAGGGAGCATCAGGACCATCCATGACCCATCCAGGGCACATCAGGACCATCCCTGACCCATCCAGGGAATGTCAGGACCATCCCTGACCCACCCAGGGAACGTCAGGACCATCCCTGACCCACCCAGGGAACGTCAGGACCATCCCTGACCCACCCAG